ACGACACCAAACATATAAACAAGAAAAGAAAAATTGAAAAATAGAACTTTCTCAAAATTTCATGTATCAAAGAGCATGATCAAGAAAATGAAAAGATATCCTGCAGAATAGCTGATAAGGATCTAGCGTGTAGAATATGTAAAAGATTCTTACAACTCACAGCAAAAAGAAAAACAACCCTATTTTATTTTTTTTAAAGATTTATTTATTTATTCTTACAAGCACTGGGTACAGTCAGAAGTGCAGGAGGGTGAGAGAATTCACCAGAGCCAGAGCGGGGAGCAGAACAGGCAGATTGACCGAAGTACACTGCTGAGGGGAGCAGCAGGCGGCAGGAGAGGTCTGAGCGCTATGTGGGACCCTCACTCGGTGGCAGCTTCGCAAACCAGCGCTCAACCCCTGCGTCACTGGGGAGGCCCCAACAACCCAATTTTATTTTATTTTTAAATTTAAATTTTGTTATATTCCCCATACAATTGCAACCCCCTTATTTTGACCCCCATCCCTCCTTTCCCCGCCGCCCCCCCACGCCCCATAGAGTGTCTCTGGTTCATAGTTGTTTGTTGATTTTGATTTTTACTTTCTTATAGTTATTCTTTTTCCTGGTCTCTTATTTAAGTTTTCTAGATTCCTGCTATGAGTGAGACCATCCAGTATTTTTCTTTTTCTTTCTGGCTTATTTCGCTGAGCATGATCCCTTCCAGCGCCATCCATGTTGCTGCAAATTGCATGTGTTTATCTTTTTTGAAGGCTGAGTAATATTCCATGGTGTAGGAATAGAAATTTCTCCAAAGAAGATATACAAATGACCAATCAGGCCATGAAAAGATGCTCAATTTCATCAGTGATTAGGGAAACGCAAATCAAAACCACAGAAATGTACCCCACACACTCACAAGGAGGGCTATGCTGGGGCAGTAACAGGAAATCACAAGTGTTAGTGAGGTTGTAGAAATTTGGAAGCTTCATAATTTCCTACTGGGAATATAAAATGGTGCAGTCCATGTGGGAACTCATTAGAGATTCCTCAATAAGCTAGAAAAGTAGAATGACCATATGACCCAGCAATTGGGCTAGATCCCAAAGAAGTAAAAATAGGAGTCGAACACCAACATGTGGGCTGTCCACACCCCAGCGGAGTGTGGCCAGTCCCATTCAGGCTGTGCATGCAAGAGAGGACTCGGCAGCCAGAAGAAGGGGCGAAGCCTGGTACACGCCATGGCATGGAGGAGCCTTGAAAATAAGCTACGTGTAAAAAACAGACACGACAGGTCACATATCGGATGATTCCATTTATATGAGAAATTCACAGGAGAGCAGTAGAGACACATCACAGACAGATGGTTGCCAGGGGCTGAAGGGGTGGGGGAGCCACAGAGGGGATGGATTCCTTAATAGGCACGGGGTGTCCTTTGGGGCTGATGAAAATGTTTTGGAACTAGCTAGAGGTTATGGTTGCACGACATTGTGCTACTGAGTTGTTCACATTGCAATAGTTAACTTTTATGTGAATTTCACCTCACTAACCACTTTTTAAAACTTTTTTAAACAAACAAAAGAACAGGAGGCTGCAGGAAGTAAGATGGCAGAGGGAGAACAGGCAGCACAGGGGCTGCCCAGGTGCCTGCCCCGTCACAAAGTGAGACCCCTCAGTCCTGCCCTGTGTGGCTGGAGCCTGAGGCTGACTCACGGGGAGACCTGCAAGGAGGCAAAGGGGAGTCACAGGACACGCAAGCCACTGGGACCCCCTCACTAAAGTAGGCTAGGGGGACAGAGGACTCAACACTAGGGGGTCTTGGGTCCTCCCTGGTGGCACAGGCGGTTGAGCACAGTGCTGTGAAGCTGTCTGCAGCCTCTGCAGTGTCAGTTCAATCCCCACAGGCCTCAGAGCAAGCCACATGGCGAGCAGACCTCTCCTGTCTCGCCCGCTGCTCCCCTCGCAGTGTATTTCAGTCAGTCTGCTTGTTCTGTTCCCTGCTCTGTCTCTGGTGAATCCTCTCACCTTCCCGCGCATCTGGTCTGTACCCCGGTTCTTGTATAAATAAAATAAATCTTTAAAAGAAAAACAATAGGGGGTCTCTGTAAAAACCCACATCCCATAGGGGACCCTGGGGAAGCATTCTATGGGAGAGTTTGAGAAGAAGCAGTAATAGCAGCAAATAAAACCTAGAAAATAAAAGTACAAGGCACTGGTGTTTAATATTAGCAAAAAATAATTCACATAAAATTCTTTTAATGGAACCTCATTAAGAATTTATTGCCCCCTCTTATCTCAGATGTAATGAATATTTGTGGGGGTGCTTGGTCTGGACACCAGAAGCAAAGATGAGGCCCCAGTGGAGCCCACAGTGATGGGTATGGCTCTGTTGAAGGTCACGGAGATTCTGGCTCCACCATGCCCTGACCCTGCAGCTCCAGATCAACTCTTTAATCACCTTCTCTGGTTGGGTCCCAGCCCTCATGAATGCACACATGGAGAAGGTCAGGTGTAGTCCTAGTGGAAGGAATCTGTTCCAAATGGAGCTTATTTTTCGGTTTTAATAGATGGGTCTTGATCAAGAACCCAAGGAATTCTGCCTTGTACCTCTTTGAGACACCCAAGGAAGCAATGACAAGGAACAAAACAGAGTATTTGGGATCCTGAACCACAGAGGCCTGGACTGGGAGATCAGAACCCAGATTCTAGATGGTAGACTTAATGGACTGCTTTCCTGTCCTGGTACCAAGAGAGAGATAGGAGCTGGAGCAGAGACGGTGGCATTGACTAAGGGCAGCCACAGGGACAAAACAGGAAGAGCAATGAGCCCTTGGCACCAATGAGCACCATGGATCTGGTTGGCAGGAGCTGTCCCTACTGGAGGAGGCAAATTTCTGAGGGTCCGAGAACTTCCCTAGCAGAGAGCTTGGCCATTGTTTCTTTCCTCTGTGAACCCAGTCTGTATAACAACCACGGGCATGGTGCCAGGCTTGGGGAGGGTCTGACCTCTGTGTCAGTGACAAGACTATGACCCCTGACATCCCTGAGGAACACTGACAAGATGCAGCCCCAGAACCATGATATGGGTCAACTCTGAGGAACAAGTTCCCCAGAATTCTGCCAGTTTCCGTTCAATTTGGAATTTTGCTTAGTGGTGTGGACCAGGTTCTGCACAGGCCTGACCACACATGATGATGGGGTCTGGGTGAACCCCACAAGGCCACAGGATACACAGTTTGACCCATCTCACGCATAGTTCCCACCAATACTGACAGAAGAAAGTCATTCACTCACAGTGAATGATTTCCACTTCCACCTTCCCATCTGGCTCTCCCCTGCCAGACTCCCTGTGGCCACCTCCACAGGCCCAAGAGGCTCCTCTGGCTGAATGGTTGGGAGACCCTGGAAACTGCTGATGTGTCTCCACACCCCCAAGCTTGCATGAACCACACCTGCTTTCTTGGACCCAGACACCCAGAGCGAGAGCACAGCACCCCCCCCTCCACTATCCCCTACACTGAGCAGACAATTCTGATGCCACAGCAGCTTCTCCTCAAAGCATATATTTCCACCCCAAGTGGAGGTGGTGCTCCTGGAAGGGAACCCAATGCAGGGTAGGGGGACCCCATTGCTATGTTGAACCTGAGAAAACATCAGAAATGAATGCTAATAGAGCAAAAGAAAGAGGAAAATAGTTTCCTTGGTTAAAGACCGGGAGACATCTCTTACCTGTGTCCATGTGGTCATTCCCTACATCATGCTTGGTCCCCACTCACCCAGAACCAGCCTCATTTGGAGGAGCCCTCAGATTCCCATGAGGCCACGGAGAGTCCTGGCCTTCCTCCCTCCCCCTCCAGCACCCTTTGGCTGTGGGAGGTGGGAACCCCATCTTCTGGCCTCTTATCTGGAGGGGAACTCAAGCAGCAGGCATTTGGCAAATGTCCCCTTGAGAAGACGAGGTTTGGGATACCCTGAGTGCAGCCACCGGGCAAGCTGCCTCCCCACCTTGCCACACCCAGTTACACAGCAGGCCTAGTCAGTCCCAACCTAATGAGCAGCGTTCCTTCCAGAAAAATCCCTCAAAAGGTGAATTTTTACAAGCTGAAAACACATTTCCTATTGAAACTAATTCCACAAGGACCAACAAAACATACATTTATAATGTAAAGCTTCCCCCAAACAAAACAGTCAAGGAAGAGCATAAGAAGTGTGTGGAAACCACAAGGATGATGCCCCTGGCCACAGCTCCTGACAAAGCACATGCTGTCTGCAGCGGAGATGGAGAATCACCTGCAGGGGCGGTTATGGCCTTGGGGCTCCAGGACCCCCAGAGGCCTGGAGCCCCACCAGGCTGCAATGGTCAGGACCCTCTTGTCAACAAAGTGGACACTTCCCACCCATGAGCCTGTGTCATGGTGCTGAACATGCTTGGCTTGTTGTCAGTCATATTCTACAGTTAACAGGTCTCTAGATGACTGATGCAAGGGAGAATTTTAGGATTTTTAGAGTGACCCCCCAGTTTCAGGACTGATTTCCAAGATGGGCTATGTCCTAGGTCCTGTTCGGTCGCACCTTTCACCAGGATGGGGAGAGACCCGGCCACCTTGCACACAAGCCAGCTGCCTGCAGGTGCCTGACCTCTCTGAGACCCTGCTCCTTCCTCACCCGGGCCCACAGCACGACTGACTGACAGGCTCAAGGCCAGAAAGTTCTCTGGGAAGGTTCAAACCTGCATTGGTCTTGTGCAGACAAAGCACAGTCTCTGTTCCTGCTCTCACAAAAGGGCCCAGCCTGAGGTCCAGGGGACCCTGCCAAGAGGAAGTGCCCAAGACCAGGGAGGGTTAGAGGGGCACAGGCTTCCCAGGGCCCATCAGCCTGAGCAGGAAGTTGGCCAGGTCCTGCCTATTAGCTGAGCAAACAGAGTATTTCCTAGGAGGATGGGGTGGGTGAGGCCTGGGTCCTGGAAAAGGGCGAGGACAGGGTATATCAGGCCCCAGGGCTAGGCTCTGGGAAGTGTGTCTTTGGTCCCAGGAGCATCCAGAACCCCATTCTGCCATGAAGCTCACCACAGCCTTCCTAGTCCTATGTGTGGTCCTGCTCAGCAACTCTGGTGAGTACCCTTTGGCCTTGGCTTCTGGTCCTTTGCCATGGGGCTTTAGGTTTGATTCGCCTCATCCCCTTGCACCACTCTAGCTGGTCCTGACCCTGCTGCATCCACACGGTAAGCCCAGGCTCCTCACACTGATACCGCCAGTGCTCACAAGGGACCAGGCCACACCTCTCCTTATACATCCTCTGGCGGGAAACCCCAACACTAACTGCAACGACTAACTTCTAGGCCTTTAAGGCCCTCTAAGGTCTGTCCCACCTGAGCCTTGGGCCTCCTCTCAGGTCCCAGCCCCTGATTTCTCTTCTTCACCTACCACCACCAGACCCTCCCAGCCTCAGGTTAGAGCAAGTACAGGCCCTGGTCTGGGAACATCTACCTGCTCTCTACCTCATCCTTAAAGGCACAGCCCAGTGCCCCTCCCCTGTGAGGTCTGCCTCGACCCCCCACACAGAGCAGTGGTCAGCAAGGGAGGGAGTGGGTAGTCAAAGGTGCTGGACTGGTTGGAAAGGCACCCCTAGCTCCTCCTGACTAGACGCTCAGCAGGTCTCCTGGGGGTCCCTAGGTACAGGTGGGAGATTCTTTTCTACTTACATTTGCAGCTGATGCTTCGTTCTCTCACAAGTCTGTGGACTCAACTAAGACTGCTCTGACTGTAAAGCCTGTTACCAGGGTCATGGCCAACTCAATTCTCAAGAACTTCAAGCCCCTGAAGTTCATACTGGTCAGCCTGGGCATCCCAGTGGGGCAACTTGTGGAGAGCTCCCAGAAGTGTGTTGCTGAGCTGGGTCCTGAAGCCATGGGGGCCATGAAGACTCTGCTGGTAATGTGGGCACCCGGGCACCTGCCCTGATTGGGCACCACTCCCCAGTCCCTCTCCTAGAGTGGAAGCACTCCACCCCTCAAATTCTGCAAATATGCCCCACCCCTGAGGAGCTCAGTGTCCTTGAGTGGGAATCAGGTTGACCACATTGACCACATCTGAGTGGCAGGGGGGCTATAAAGGGCTGAAGAGGGTACAGAGCATGCCTGTCCCTGCAAGGAGCAGGCACCATGACTCACCCTGGAACACAGGCCAGTCAGCCTCCCGGTGCCAGGGTGCCGAGGGCCAGCACACTCAAGTGTGGCTTCTCCTTTCCAGGGGGCTCTGACGTACTTTGGTTGAGCCAAGGCTGGCTTACCCATGCCCAGAGACAAGATGCTGCCATCTGCAGGTGGAGACCTACTCCGGGTCTGAGACCCCCCCCCCACTTTCTCAATAAAAATGTGTAAGTGCAGTTTTGGCGTTGATGTCTTCTGCCTCATGCCAAGCCCTGTTCCGCTCCTTGGTATAAGCAACATGCTGAAGGATGAGAGGCCACAGTCTGGGACTGGTATGGTCCTTATACCTCAGGAGGGGCCACATGCCCACACCCCAGATTATGTGAGTGTGTGTGCAAGGGACTGGCATTCAGTAGGTCACATAGCCAGCAAACATAGGTGACAGGAATTGGGAATTCTTCCGTTATGCTCTTCAATTGTTTATAAAGCACAGGAATTATCTAATCCTTGAAGGTGGCAAGAATTCTCCAAAATGAAGCCATTTGTTGCTGTGATATGAGAGATTTTGATTTCCATCACCCCCCCCACCCCCCGCCCCAGACTTAGGTTTCTACTCTGGAATGGGACAGGACTGAGGACTACAGGAAATCTAGACACTATTAGCTTTTCTTGTGGCTTCTGGTGGCTTCACTGAAATAACCTGGTGACTCTGAGCCCTTCTCTTCTACTGGGGGAACTGCCATTCCTGGAATGTACCCCAAGGTTGGTGGGAAGGTGCCCAGAACCTGGACAGTGACCACTCTCAGAGAAACTTCCCACTAAACTCCTTTGTTGTTGGCAAATTACAACTCAAGAGAAAAACGTAACTGCTTTAAGTTTCTCCTGAGGAAGAGCTTCTCCCTGTATTATCAGTCCAACATGGACAAACCGAAATCCATTTTCATCTATTTTATATTAAAACATGGATTTCTGTTCCTATTTCGACAAGGATATAGAAGGACTTAAATTTGGGAAGTCAGTTTCACACATTCACTCAAACTGGAGCAGGGAGGACGCCACCTGGGCTCAGCTTAAATTTGAGTGTCATTATCAACACATTGCCCTCAAGGTTCACAAAGGGTTTGAATCCTGTGTAAGGCTCTGGTTTGGACAAAGATGAACCAATGAGATGAATCACTAAGCACCTCTGGTGAAAGCAGTGCACCCAGGACCTGACCTGACCCTAGGCCAAGCTCTCCCAGCATTACACATCCAGGCTCTATGCAGTGAAAGCACTGGATTTGCATTCTAAGAAACATTATATGCTACAGGAGCTTGTTGGAACGATGGTGGGCTAGGCCCCAGAACAAGGACCCCATCCTGAGATGGCCCTGCTAACTTTCACCTGAGGAGTCTCCCCAAGAAAACACTAGAGGGGAAATCAAAGAGTTCAAGAGACCTTGCATATGGCTTGGGTGCCAACGCTAACTGCAATGGCAAGCTTCTTTCCCCCTGTAGATTCCTGGGACCAACCATAATCCTGGAGGAAGAGGGAATACTGTGGAGGGAAAGCTGGGTTCTTTAAATACAACTTATTTTGATAACTTGAGTTCTAAAAATTGAAGTTTAAAAAAGTAACAAATAGGTAAACCTAACTTTTTGATTCACATGGCGGCATAATCACAGACAAGAACTATTCCAGGGCCTCCCCTGGTGGCGCAGCAGTTGAGCGCTGGGCTGAGAAGCTGCCCGCAGCCTCTGCAGCACTGGTTTGATCCCCGGCCACCCGGAGAGGGTCCCACATGGTGCGCAGACCTCTCTCCTGCCGCCCGCTGCTCTTCTCAGCAGTGTACTTCGTCTGTCTGCCTGCTCTGTTCCCCGCTCCGGCTCTGGTGAATTCTGTCACCCTCCCTCCCTTCTGTCTGTACCCAGTGCTTGTATAAATAAATAAATAAATCTTTAAAAAAAAAAAAAGAACTATTCCAAATAACATGAAAGGTCATGTAACTGTACACTGTAGAAGTGGGATTGGGAAAAACCTAAGAACAGAAACTGTAAATGAACATTTCTTGCTGGTGGCATTGCTGTACTGAGGCCCTTCTCTACCTGTTTTCTGATACATCAAAAAAGTAATTATGTTAATATTATTCACCTGAGATTTCTGGCAAAGTTGAAAGGAGAAGCTGAAAACGATCATGAAGGTTATCTAAAAAACTTATTGCTCAAAATTCCAACAGCAAGAATGTCACCTAGTATCTAGGGGAACAATCTCTGTCCCCTGAAAGTGACCAACTGAATGGCAATGAGAATCCTTGTATCCAGATTGTGGCCTCTAGATTTCATTCCCACTAAAGGAACCAGAACTCCAGATCTGGAGCAGGAATAGTGAAAGATGAGATTGAAACACCTTTTTATATCAGAGAGGTCAAGGACTACCAGGATTGAGCCCCAAAGTCTCAGGGACCACTTTGAATAAGGCTCTCACCGGCCAAAAAGGGGTATTTGAACATCAGCAATGGTAACAAGTGTAATGGATTAAACTCAAATATGTGATAGAGGGGAAGAGAGTCTGGTAACTTTTGTGAGAAAGCAAGGAAATCAACTCCTTAGTCTGAAAACCAATACATATTTAAAGAACAATGTTATCATTTTGAAATACAATGCTGAAACATGTAGAGATGTGATGCCTGCAGTTGTTTCAAAATATCAGGATATGCATAACAGACGTGTGGCCACGTAATGGCAGAACTGAAGCTTAGTGATGGATAAAATCAGTTCACTCAAGTGTTCTCTGCACATTAGTATGTGTTGGATGTTATCTGAACTGGAAAATCAAAAAATATTACAAGACAACTAAGAGAATGTATGTCACACACATAACTGATAAATGACAAGTATTCTGAGGATGTAAGAATTATGAATCAACTGGGAAAGGACAAGTCTAGAAGGCATAAAATCATTAAGAGGACCTGAAATAACAAGCATGCATTTTATTAATGAGAAACAGAAATGAAAGCCAGAATGAAATATTATACCCACGAGATTGCCAAAAATTAAAAATTGGACAAAAACAAGCACTGGCAAAGATGTGGGACAACGAAAAACAAAAAGAAATAACCCCAAGCTGCTGCTGGGAGAGTAAAGCAGAACACACTTTGACCAGGGTTAAGCATGTCTGGTGATGCCAAGCCATGTGCACGTCCTACCGCCAACCTCAAATTTATACTCCGGAGCCCTTCTCACACACCACCTTTCAGAATGTTCTGGGCAGAATGGTCTGGATGGGTAGGGGGAAAAAGAAAATTAGAAAACCACCCAAGGATGCCTGCAGACAATGGAGAAATATAATTTGGAATATATATATACAAGGCAGTAGTATCACACTAGTTAAAATGAACTAATTCTGACTGCATACATGCATGCACGACATGAATCTCAAACATACTGGCCAAATAATTCAATTCCCAGAAGAAATCATACAAAATTATCTATGCTTTTATTGAGATAATTCATATACCATCAATTCCTTTTTTAAAAAATATTCAGTGTTGTGCCAGTCTCCACTAATTTCAGTACATTTTTATCACACAGCACTCCCCGACTGCCCTCCACCAAAAAACAAAAACAAAAACAAAAACACCACCCAAATTTCCGCATCTATCAGAAGCCACTCTTCCTTGGACAGTGTCTTTCAAATCCAAGAAACTACTGCCCAATCCAAGGTCAGGAAAATAATTATCTGCTTTGTCCCCTACAAATCTTTCATTTAGATTTTTTAATTCATTCTAAGTTTTGTGTATGGTGTAGCGAGGGATCCAACTTCATTCTTGATTGTGGCTACTCAGTTGTCCTAACAAATTGATTCTTTCCTCTATTGGTGTCTTGGCATCTGTCAAAATCAATTGACCAAAACATAAGGATTTATTTCTGGACTCTCAATTCAATTTCATTGAAGTAATCCTTATGCCAAAACCACACTATCTTGATTACTGTAGCTTTATAATGAGTTTTGAAGTCAGGAAGTTTGTGTCTTCCAACATTGCTCTTTTTCAAGATTGCTTTGGCTACTTGGAGTCTCTTGGATTTTCTTTTGAATTTTAAGATGTTTTTCAATTTCTGCAACAAAAAGCCAGCTGGGATCTAGATAGGGACTGCACTAAATCTATAGATCAATTTGGGGAGTCTCTTCATCTTCACAGTCTTCTTTCAATTCATGAATAACATCCTTCCATTTATTTAGGTTTCCTTCGATGTTTTATAATTTTCAGTGTACAAGTCTTGCATTTCTTGTTAAATTTACTCCCAAATATTATTTAATGCTATTGTTAATTGTATTGTTTCATTTTTGGAATGAATACAAGTTCTTGCACATTTTCTAACAAATTTTTAATTAGTATTCTGTAAATTGCAAAAACAAAAATTTGATCCTTAGTGAAGTCTAATTGATTTTTGTATGTTAATCTTGTGTCACCAAACTTAGCTGGGTTTTTTTTTTTTTTTGGTGTATGGACCACTGAGGATTCCCAATGGTGCAAGACCTATCCTCTGCAAAGGACAAGTTTTACTTCATTGTAAAATGACATTAGCATGTAGCTTTCTTTCCTTGTGTCATCTTGGTCAGATTTTTGGTGTCATGATATTATTAGTATCATCTTCTCATTTTTGAAGGTTTATGAAAAATTGGTAATTATTTTTAAGTTTCAGGCAGAATTCACCAGTGAAGTCATCTTAGCCAGAGTTTTTCTCCCCATATAGTTTTTTCATTACTAAAATCAACCTTATTTTTACTCATGATTTCTCATCCGAGTCAGTTTTGGTAGTTTGTCTTTCTAGAAATGTATCTATTTCATATACATTAGCTAATTCAAGAAGAAATTGTCCATAGCAATCCCTTTTATCGTGTCAACTCTAACATTAAATTTGGAAAGTATACTTAACAGTATCAAATTTTTGTTTTTGCAATTTACAGAATGCTAATTAAAAATTTGGTAGAAAATGTGCAAGAACTTGTATTCATGATTTGTATTATGAAGTTTCAGCAAATTCTTGAAAGTTAAGTTTTTCTTTTCCTTGGAAGTTCAGTTATGTGTATTCATAAAGTTTGATAATACAGTGAAAAAATGTATCACACACAATTTGGTTTTTATTATTGATTACTTGGCATTCTTTTTGTTGCAAGAATCAAACTGGAATTGAATAGCAAATCATTGTAAATATTCCTTCGCAATTCACAAAACAATTGGTAAAGATT